CTAAGAGGGTCCGAAACGGCTATGGGCAGATGTGTCGCTTACCACCAAGCAAACGACTTATTCCTCCCGTCACTATTGATATTATATAAAAACTTTACTTATAAAATGTTTTTAAACAAGATCTTTGTTTTGTAAATCAAAATAAAACAATAAATTTAGATAACAATGATTCAAATTTTTAATTGTATTAAAAAAGTAGGATTTGGTAGATAGATGAAAAATGATACCTGATAAATGTCCACCACGACCACAGTTACACATGTCGATTCTTTCATCAAAGTTTTTAATCAGTTTTTGATAAAATGGTGGGCCTATTTCGTTAATCACTTCACGAATTTTGAGTTTTAAGGCTGCAATCGATTCAATTGACTCCGTATAAACTCTCTCTTTACAACATGATCGAGCTGGCCACTTAACGGACGAATTTCGTGAAATTATGCAATCGGGAATTTTGTCACGGAAATTAGGTAATGAACACTACTCCGAGAATAACCGAAATAACTTCTATATATAATAGTCCCTTTCGTTGGTCCTAACTTAAAACCAACGCCTTAAGGAACTTTGGCTCATGATGAGTCAGCGCCCTTTCACTGCTAGAACCGAAAATTTGTTTCTACTTTTGTTTTTATTTAATCTATATCTGTGTTATATTAGTGAATAATCAAGTCAAAGTCAAAGAATAATTTATTCCATAGGTAGGTAAAATTAATTTACACTAAAAAACCTCACATTTAAGCTACTGCTAGTTCACTACGCTGACTTCGCTGAGAAGAACGAGCATGAATCTCTAGGGATTGCTCTTTTCAAATAAACTTAATTGCTATGGAATAACTACACTTTAAATGAAATTTGTGTGGAAACTAGAGCCACATTGTCTTTCCATATAATTATGTTTATCTAACACGTAGTCTTCAATTTTCTAATATGACTTTTCAATCAAAATATTTTTAATGTACTGTTTAAACTTAGGAAATGATAATCTTAATATATGCTCCGGAATCTTATTGTAAAAACCTATACAGTTCCCCATAAAAGAATTGTTTACCTTAGTTAAACGAAATCGTGGTACCATAAGTTTGGACTTGGCTCTAAGGTCATTTCTTATTGAAATGTGTTTAATCTATCTACCTACCTTGATGTAGTTACAACTCTAAAGTGGCAATAATGGTATAGGTTAGTGCTTTGTTTATTTGTTAAATCAGTGTCTGAGAATTGAAACAAAAGAATAGAGAGTATTTTAAATTAACGAAAAATACAGCTGGGCGTAAACAAGTGACAATCGACATAGTACGGCGAAGTCCAAACGAACTCTGACCTAAGTGAATTGAAGCTGTGTGTAACGGTAATTAAATCTATTTTTTAAATCCCCAAAATGTTATTGTGATCAGATTCTCAGATTCTTACGTTATGTAATACGAACAAATTTAGTTAACAAGTCACAGTCGATATATTATTAAAAACAACGTAACGGTACACAGTTACAACTTTCGTTGAATTACTCTTGTCAGATTTAGTGCCATTTATTTTGAATTTTGATTTATCACGACACATAAAAACTACAATTCAAAAATTAAACAATTTTTTTACAAAAAGAAACCGATATCAGAAATTTGTGGAATTATATCAATTTGCCAAGTTTTATTGAAATCGTTTAACAGAAAACGGGTGAAATCCAATTAACCGTATTCATCTCCTAATTTACCACCCTTAGAGGTGGAATATTTTTTTCAAATTTGAATGGGACTCTACTGAGGTACTACCCCCTTTCCAACAAAAAACAATCAATCTATTCATAAATGTCAGAGTAAACGCGTAACATACACACAAAAAGAATACAGTTGAATTTAGAACCTCCTCCTTTTTTTAAAGTTGATTAATAAGAGAATCAAATGAAAAGGAAACATTAAAAATGCGGCTGTCAATTAAAAATTATCATTAGAATTCAAGCCACGAAATGTGTACAAGTTACACTAAGCTTAAAATCTTTTACTAATGTATGTTACATTGCAACAGAACTTTCAGCGAAAACAAGCACAAATGAAAACTTATGCAAACAAAACGCAGCTAAAATGGGTAAAATGGCTGCCCAGTGTTATGTTACTACTGCAAGAGGATTACAAATAGGACAATTATAAACAAACCGGTTTATTTTACCACGTACAAGAATTTCTTTATTTGTACGGTTGAAATAGCAAAAATGTATAAGTACCTATTACATTTAAAATTTTCGTGTGTATTCAAAAGATACAGTGGTTAGAAATCTGTATACTTGTAGGAGTAGAGCTCCTTGTGAAAGAGTTCGTCCAGGGAAGTACTGTTACTTTACCAATTTCTGCCGCCAAGCCGTAATGTGAACATCACAGCGTTCCGGTTTTGAAGGTGCTGGTGAAATTGCCGGCACATGGTACTTGTCAACTTATGTCTCAAGTGACAAAGCTCTGAGTGCCGTACCACTAGGCGCACGACTTGTTCGTTCCGTCACTTAGCGTCATAAACAAAATACTAGTGATATACATACCTTACATTGTTCGATTATACATGTTTTAGTCTGGAAACTTTCGAGTATGATCGCGTTTTGTAACTTCCCAGTGAATGTATTACAATAATATCAAAATTATTGTTTTAGTTTTTCTATGAGAAATAGTGCTGTGACTATACAAGTAGGTGAGGGTGTTGGTGAAATTACAGGCACATGGGACTTGTCAACTTAAGTCTCAGGGTGACGGGCGCAGTGGCAGTTCCCCTCAGATCTTTGTGATTTGAAGTTCTGAGCTCTGAAGTATGGCAATTGTTATGGATGTAGCTTACTTAAAAAAAACCTATTAAGATTATGTCTGTACATAACTTTAATACGAAATATAAAAACACACGTCGTCTTCATAAAGTCACAAATTCATTTAAGGGTAAACGCTTCTATAATAAAATTCCTGGTTGATATTCAAAATTTGTCATTCACGAGATTTAAAACTATCGTGAACCAAAAACCTTATACTAAAGGTTATTATTATTATACATTGAATGACAATAATCCGTTGTAGTGACCCGTCTAGCTCTTGCGGGTTGTCTCGGTCTATGATGTTTGAAGTTAATATTATAAATGATATATGTACACAAACGTTTATTTACAAAGAGCAATCCCTAGAGTTTCTTGCTCATTCTTCTCAGGAGAACCTGCCTTACGAATGAGCAGTAGAGTTTAATGAATATGGCGATTTCAAGTGTAATTTCCTTACCTAAGACATAAAGATTATTTGACTTGGACTTAGAAAATAAAAAAAATATTTTTGAAATTTCATAAATTAACGGTAACTTTACATTGTAACTGAATATTGCATTCATTCTTAGTACAAAACTATACATCTCCAATGTGAAGCGATAATAGCGTGGGTTACCATAGTTGTCATTTCCATTTATATTAACAAAATCATTTTTTTTAATCCTTCAATCCGGCCGGATTTTTTTTTATAAAAAATAAGTGGGCATTTGACCTCCATCTCACCTGATAGAAAGTGATGGTGAGGTCGACGATGTAGCATGCACATAAATAATGCCTATTCACTCTCATCATGAAAAGGTCCAAGTTATAGCTTTCGGGGAACAAGTCCTAATCTAACTGGATGACGAAATACTTTGATAGATATCTCATAGATGGCGCTACGACTAAAAAGTCGTTGAAAACCAAATACAAAGATCCGACAACAAGCATAAAGAAAAATTCGTGAGGTCCGCTGATTCGTTCCGTGATTATTTTTAAAGCTTTTTATTTATTTATTTATATAACGAACTTGCTCACTCCAACATGCATTAATTTATCTAAGTTCTCCTCCTTTACCCAAGTTCACAAATATTATTTATAACATAAGTGTCAAATAATTAATTGCTGTCTACGGCATTAAATATTGTCCAGCTATCTCAAAATAATATTTTTTCGTTTTGACACTTGACTAAATTTTTCCTCTTTCACTAGCCTTATCGCGACAAATTTTTCACGTTTTTATAATTTGTTTATAGTGAAAATAATACACACATCTCAACAAGTGTAGAAAGTTTAAATATGCACAAAAAATAGTTTGTCATAAAATTAATTCTTCTGCATGTTTTACACGGGTAAATTGTTTCAGTGAAAGTTTCGAGTTTACAGATTTTCTTCAATCATAACCTTATGGGTTGCTACAATGATAAGCGTGTAGCTCAGCTAGGTGTACGTTGCTAAGCTGGGGTCATATTTTTTTAAAAGTTCACTGCATTATTGTGTGTAGAAATATTTTTTCGACTGTTGTTGCTCTCATGCGCCCGTGGCGGTTCACCTAAGTCACTAGCCTTACAGACAACTTCAAGAAAGTCCGTGCAAACGTGCTGAGCCGGAGTTAGAACCGGACTTAGATGGTCCCTGTGCGGGTTCGCTCGCACAGGTCATAGTGCACTTCCCGCATAACCAAGAGGTTGATAGGGAGGGGCACTGTGAACAAAACTTATGTAGAAAGATATGAGACTGTTGTTGCTCTCATGTCACTGTAAATGATTACATAAAAATGAAAAAAAAAAAACGTTTTTTTTTTAACTTTCTTCTTAAGCTGCCATTTCTTCTTTTACTTTATATTGACTTTGACCTTAACTGCGTCATCCGTTATGCGTTATATTAAATGCGTTATGTTATTATCGTTATCGTATAGAGATCATCCTTCGTACTTGTGTTAGGGCACAAGGGACACAACAGGAAGTGCTGTAAGGACTGTGTTGGGGCATCGCAGACATATTGGGTTAGACTGGCATCCCTGAACCCCCTTAACACGTCTTGTTTCAGCAGCGAGCTACCTGAGTGCGTAGTCGATTTAAGAACTTCCACACAGCGTTTTTTAAACCTAACATTTAACAGCGTTTTTAACGACATTAACCTAACTGGCAGTATGGAGATTACACAAGTAGTTTTTATAATTCACAGTTTTTGTTTTAGTGTCGCATTGATACATACACAAATATAAACAATGTCTTTGTTTCAGTTCACCCATTGGTGCAAGTGCCGAACCAGCTGGTGGGAGCGCCGTCTGGTACCGACGTCACGCTGCAGTGCCACGTCGAAGCCTCTCCGAAGGCCATCAATTATTGGACTAGAGAGAACGGTAATATATACAGAATTTAACTATATGCTTACTATTTTGTAAAATACAGCATTGATTATTCCAATACTGTTTAATACTTAGCACTAACTAAATTAGCATATAGTGAATCTGGTATCCTCTGGTTTAGTGTTACACAAATATACATAACTATGTTACTACAATAGTGTCCACGATTTGATGACATTTTGGAGACTTCGCATGTACACAAAGATAAAAAATTTAATCTTCTTACAAGTAGTCAATTTATTCTCAAAAGTCGACCTCACGTAAGTGATTTTTAAAAGATCGAGGACGACGCGAAAACTGATTACTAAATGTAGCCTACAACATGCTATCAAATGGTTTCCGCATGTTTGTTGTTTGTTGTAATTGTTTGTTTATAAGAAATGTCTTGTAATTAGTAGTGAATACTTAATCATATTGACGATTTCAAGTGCAAAATGTTCAATTGTACTATGCTTAATATTTTAACAATTATTTTAAGTGATCGTCAGTAGCACTAATTTATTTATCGCTGAATCATATTCAAACTGAACTAATGTTCAATCAAATTCAGCGCAATTTCTATCGCACTCAATAGAAATTCCTTGATTCAAATAAATTTTTAATGTGTCTAATTTGCTACGCTGCTACGCCGTAGCTGTAAAGTGAGCTACGAATTATAGTCACACAGGTTCTCTCTTAGGCAGCTACTAAACGAACTGCATTGTCGAAGTCCGTATTATAATTCCATGCATACGAAACCGACCGCATGCTGTCATTAACTACAAGTAGTAATAGCCCTATGTAATAATAATAACGCACACTCTCAACTGGGAAAACCCTGTGTCGCGGGCCAAGGACACACACATAGACAACCACAAATAACACCCAAACTCACGAGAGAAATAAATGTAGGCTATACAAATATTTCTCCCGGCCCGGGAATCAAACGTGGAATCTCTGCGTGGTAGTCCGGCCACGTGGTAACGGCCACGGACACAGTTAATTAAATTTATAGTATATAAGTTACGCCGCCGTTGTAAACGAATTAATTACTTAAAATAATAATTATTGTATTACGTAATTGTATGGAACGACGCGAGCGCACACCCTCGCATCAGGAGGGTATCGATCCACTAGCCGGAAATGCAAATTGCAAAATGTGATAGCGGTAATTACTTACTTGAATGGTGGAAAGAGATAAACATCGGTGAGCGTTACATCGCCACGTCATGGAACGAAGTATAAAAGAAAGAAGGCGTAAGCGACAAACAATAAAACTTCATTTTACATGAAAGTTATCATGTTAAAGGTACCATAGTTGTCTACCGAATAAAATAAAAGTTAACTAACAATTCTTTCGGCTATTTCATTTATTTTTATTTATTATTAAGTTACTTGAATCTGTTTCAGAAAGGCCATTTGTGAAAAATAAATCAGTAGAGAGAAGTTTTACCAATCGTATTGTGTTTTACCATTATATTGATTAAACCTTCAAATAATCTTTTTTTTATAATCTTTTCAAAAAAAAAATAATAATATATCCTCGTAAGAATGTCAATTACTACTTTTGATTCTCAGACTAGCGTTCACATCGATACTTGAAGTTGAAGTCTCAACTGCATGAAGTTGAGTTTCGACTACATGCAGTTAATGCGTGAAGTCGTTATCAACTTCATGCAGTCGAGGTCTCGCAGAAGTACTCAGTCAATCTGTCAGCAGCCTTAGATTTAAAAGTTAGGCTCTTGTGGGTGTAGGAAATTGATTCTGTCATCTGCAAAGCTACTTCTTGGATCACTTGTTACGACATGGCTTTAAAACTTTGTTTACTACTGGGTTATATACAATAAAATATTGATTTCCTGTCAATTCAAAATGTATCGATATCATAACGTGTTGTTAGCACAACTGTGTACAAAATAAACTAAAATTATCATCATAATCTCTGATTGCGCACTAAACGGCGGAGTTCATAACCCGACGTTTATGACGAAAGCAACTCGTAAACTTTATTAAGCCCAGCACGGAACTCAAGAACGGAATAAGCAACTAATTTCATTATTCATAAAGCACATTGGAAGCGTTAAAGTACTCATTAAAAGGGTCGTTATTCATATTCTACTATCCTCCTTTGACAGGCCACAGGGGCTAGTGCTTGCTCACAAGTTATGGCCTTTTTATGGTTGTATTTAAAGGGAAAAATATGCGCTTATTTCATGTCCGCTTTTCATTTCGCGGAGATTTATATTGACTCTGATTATACGGCGTCGATGGTAAACCGTATTAACGACCTCGTAATTATAAGGATGAGATGACAGCCTAAAATATAGCCGGATATTAATTAGCGAAAATAACTAAAAATATTACTGTTTCTTATTACCTGACTCTACATTTCATCGTTCTTTCATCACTATCTGTAAAACTACTTTTGTTTGAAGAAACTTGTAATGAGGTATTGAAAATATTATAACTTGAAAATGTGACATATTTTGTATTTATTACACCTTAAAATACCACCACAACATGTGAAGTATGAAAATGAAAACGAATGCGGGTGAAAAATAATGACTGAATTGTTATAAAAACACGTGCTAACTAATACAAATAAGGCTCTTAACCTAACAAATCGGCGGAGGACCGGAGACTTCATTACTACTCATTAAAATGGCACCCCAAGGATAAAAGTTGCTTGTTTAGCGGTCGGGTGACAGATGGACTCAAGTACTCGCACTTCGTCGACACAATGAGATAAAGACACCGCGTAAGAAAGTCTTTATGAACCAACTGTGTTGCATTCCACAAAGCACTTCTTGTAACTTGTAATGATGGCACTTCACATGACTATTTGTATTCGCTATTGGATATTTGTTGTACTTGGCATACAGACGAACATACAGACACTGACAAATATGACCAGGAGCCAAATAAGACGTTAAAATAATGAATATGACCATAGTGTGGGCGGTTTACTTGCGTATTTGCCTATTTGATTCCTTTGATGTGCGTCGAGATGCCGACAAGCGCGAGGTAACGCATGTTTGCTGTATTTGTCGAATAGGCAAACAAGGCAAGTACTTTATCACACATGCTATCTATGCACGGTGATTGTTTGCCATATATTACGTTATTTATTTATTTTATTATTTATATTATATACGCAAATACAAATAGCCATGTGAAGTACCACCATAAGTTTGCACTTATATTTGTTATACTGAAAAAGTTTATTGGAACATTCACTACATATTTCAAAAAGCTACTAACTCGTTTTTACAAAGTCAATAACGCTGAAATGGAAGCTATCTACACCGACTCCCAATAATAAAATTTCCGAGCAAATATTTTCGAAGTGGCTCACGTTAAAAGCATTTAGAGCAAGAGCCAATATTCTAGTGGGTAATGCGTTGCAACAAGCATCAAGCACGGTACGGCACAGCGCAGGCTCGCCAGTTGCCACTAAAGTCGAGTTAGGATCGGATTTACGGCGCCACACGCCGCGACATGTGTGAACGGACCGCGCCGCAGCTGCCCCGCACAAAGCGAACAAAACTTTTTCGCAATGCGGTCTTTAAACTTATTTTTTGTCGGTTTAATCGAGCAGTTTATGTGTGAGCGCTGCACAAGTTTACAAGAAGACCAACTTTGAATTGAGATTTTAAACCGATTGGATGAAATGGACGGTGGTTTAAACCATTGTGTTTGCAAGTAACAAAAATAGTAAAAAGTGCTTATTTTATCACTGATTCTTTCCCACTCTCATTCATTTACGTACATCACAACATTGCACAATTCATTTAAATAGTGAACATAACAACGCATCAAATCTTACTATTCTAAGAAATGGTTTACTCATCCAAAGTCGATAACAATAGAGACACAAAGCTAACAGGATTGTGGTTTTGCCCTAGAAGCATCAACTGAATAATTGCTTGTACCTTAACCAGGCGAACATAACATTGCAGGCAGATTTAGATGCAGTTACAAAGGCAACTGAGCCCGCCATTACGCGGGTACAGCAGCCTACCGCGCAAAAAGCGGACCAAATTCTATTACCGCCCGATATGCAACAAAGACCGCTGACCCGCCCGCTTCAAATTGCTTTAGGCTACAGTCACAATATTTACTCTCACGTATCAAAACATTTGACCGAATAAAAATTGTCAGAAATGCGAAACACTGTGTTGCGCTAAGTGCAGGGTTTAAGTAAGTTTGCAGTGTACAATTAAAAAGTTGTACTTAAATTATTAAATTTGTAGGAAGGGCTGTCTGGACCAATACCTTTATTATTCGGGAGACAACGACTCATAATATTAAGATTTAAATATTATATACATGTGATTAAGTACAATACGTTGTTTATCATCTTAGTAATAACCAAATCGCACCCGTGGTTCAATAATACCACATCTGCAAAATGACAACTTTCCAGGAGAGGAGTTTAAAGATTCATGACAATGATTTTTGATGATAGTGATCAATGATTTTTAAGCTTAAGTAAAAGAGGTATAAAATTTCACTTATCTCTGCGATAAAAACACTTTTGACGTACGATCACATGTGTCTTTTATATACAGAGAGTACGAAATTTCAAACAGACGCGAGTAAGCTTCTACAGTTACAAGAACTGTAGAAGCTTTAAAAAGTACCATGAAGAAAAACCTTACTCATCGAAATCAAACTTACAAATACAATAAACGCTACCCGCAACGTTCTTGTAACAACTGCGTTAACATTTGTAACAATCTTCAATCAAAAACACGGGAGTGACCATAAAGAGTATTTACAGACATTAGTAACAAACAGAGTGAAGCAGACGGCTCTTCTGCGGGACATAAATTGTGGGGGCTACAAATTAAATTAGGTAATACACGGCCGTGACGAACAGGACAAGCGGGGCCTCTCTGTGGACATGGAAGGGGAGTGTCCGACCTCTCGCTGCCAGATAGGGTTGCAAAAAACACTGGACCATCGCGAGCATAAATTTGAAATTGAGATGGGCAGCCTGCATCGAATCCTTGTCAATGTTTGGCATTCCAGC